AGTAGAAGTTTAAATGCAAATATATCCAAAATAACAGATTATTTAAAACAGCTAAACAGAACCTTTACAATAATAGCACTGTCAGAGACATGGCTCAACGATGAAAACACAACTAATGTTCACATGGAAGGTATGAATTATATCATGTGAACAGAAGCAACAAAAGAGGTGGTGGAGTGGCTCTATTTGTTAAAAATGAAATAAAATGTAAGTTAATTAATGAAATGTCAATAATTGTTGATAATATCATGGAAATGATAACAACAGAAATAATAAACAAGAATGATAAAAACATATTGATAAGTTTCCTGATGCATGCTCAATAATCCAGGTAGAAAAATCCAAAAAAGTTCAATCTGGTCCTCTGGACCCGATTGTATCATTCCCAAGAGCCTGGAACTAAAATCTTCGGTCAGCGGGCAAGCAAGATCCTTCAGAAGGCACAGACCCAGCTGCTGAATGAACGGGTGAGACAGACCAATTTTACTGTTGAGGCCTTGAAGGCCAAAGAAGAGCACATTAAACAGAAACTAACTATGTGTCTAGATCAGACCACACTTCAGCAAGTGTTGGACTGCACAGATCAGGCACGCTTATCACAGCATGTCAAGTTCAAGACTCGACAACAAAATAAGTTTAACGTACTAATAGCTCGTCAACACCATCACTATTGCAATAACAACACATTCAGTGTAGGACAACACTCCAGTAGTCAAATACATGCCAGGGAGACAGAAAAGTGGGTGAAGAATTTATCTGACAGACAGCTCACCCAGCCAGAGACAGAGATTCTTGTCAGGGGACTGAACTTTGCGGTTGCACCAAGTAGAATTCCTCTGGTGGAGATGATCACAGCCACAGAATCAGCCATCCGCAACAACAAAATGAAAGAGGGTGAAGCAGAACAGTTCAGAATCAAAGTTTCATCCTGCCTCAGCAATGCCAAACCACCACCTTCCAACATCAGTAGAGAGAAGAGGGATGCACTCACCACTGTTAGCAAGGACAAAAACATCATCATTCTCCCAGCAGACAAAGGAAGGTGCACAGTGATTTTGAACCAGAAAGACTATCATGAGAAAGTTATGACACTCCTTAGTGAC